TTCTACTTTCCCAAGGTCTTGAGACCTGCCCCGCCTGAAGGCCCAGCCCCCCTCCTCTTCCCCCTCCCTCAGCCTCTCCTGTTGAAGGAGGTGGCTGAGGTGGGGTGGTTCATTCCTGGTCAGTTTGTAAGAGCTCTTCCTGCCCAACCTATTAACCCTGTCCCCCTCTGTGCTGCAGTGACCGACCCTCAAGTCCTGTGTATTGACGTAAGCTGCTGTTTCATACAAATATGTCCATCCTGTATTTCTCGTTGTGGGTTTGTGACCTGGACTAGGAAGGGCTCCCCCTCCCCCTCCCCCTCCCTCGCAGAGTCCTAATCTCACAGCTTGTCCCTTCCCACGGGTCAGGAGCATAAAAGCCCACAGGGGCACAGAACTGCAGCGTCGCCATGGCCCCGCTGTGCCCACTGCTGCTGGCCCTGGCCCTGGTGGCCATCCCCGGTGTCCGAGGTGCCTGCCCGGCAGCCGCTGACCTCAAGAAGCCAGATGGGACACGGACGTGCGCCAAGGCCTATGACAAGAGCGACCCATACTATGAGAACTGCTGCCGAGGCGCCGAGCTGTCCATAGAGCCGGGCACCGACCTGCCCTTCCTGCCCTCTGACTGGAGGAACGTCATCTCCTCACTCGTGGTGGCCCCGCGCTGTGAGCTCACCGTGTGGTCCCGCAGAGGCAAGGGTGGCAAGTCTCACAAGTTCACCGCTGGTGTCTACCCGCGCCTTGAAGAGTTCCGCAGGGGCATCTTGGGCCACTGGTCCAACGCCATCTCCTCCATCTACTGCAGGTGCCCTCCTGTCCCCGTGCCAGTGCGCACATCTGCTTCCACAGCACAGAACCCAGCCCCCCCCCCACCCCCAGCTTCAGTTTGCCCAGGCCCCTGAGTCCCTGACCCATCCTGGAGGCCCCTTCTCACCCGCATCCTCCCCCAAGCCCGTGCCCCTGGGATCTCTCAGACCAGTTCTGGGATTCTCAGACTCAGAAGTGACACAACCCCCTCCATTTAGGGAGCACCCCCCAACCTTCCTGATCCCCCACCTGCCTACCCACAGCTACACTGTCCAGGGAGGGCCACTAACTCCTGAGCTGCCCAGTCTAGCTTGGGATGTGGAGCCATTCACCCCCTCACCCAGAAGCCCCAGAACCAAAGCCAGTTCTTCCCTCTCCCCAAACCGTCAGATCTCAGAGCTGCCTCGGGCCTCCCAGACTCTACATCTGACCCAGACCTCAGGCCTCCCAGACTCTACATCTGGGGACACCCTGTCTGGCCCTTATGCTCCCTAACCACCCACACCCTCTAGGACAGCCTCAACACCAGGACCCAGTCCCAGGGTCCTTGGGAAGGTTCTGGAGCATTTGGAGCCCTGAGCCCACCCTGCACTCACATATGCAAACTCACAGACTTGGGACCCTAAGTCTAGCCACAGTAGCCTCCAAAACCACCCCCCCCCGCCGCCCACCCCCCAAGAGCTCCAGGAGCCCCCGCTCCTGAAGTGGGAGCCCAGCCCAGCCCACACCTTATCTCAGGCTCTAGAGCTCCCCAAGCCATAGATCTTTGAGCCCCTGGCACTTCCTGGTGATCAGTTTTTATTTTGTTGCAGGTGCTACTGATGCCTCAGAGGCCCCTCATCTCCAGCCCCTACGGAGTGAGGAGCCCTCACCCAGCCTTGTCCCTGGGGCCTGCTGAGGGCCCCGCGTCCCAACAAGAGAGCTTTCTGCCTGCCCCCTCCCACCCTGCCTTCCCTGCAATACAGTCCTTATGAAGTTGCCCCTGTCTGCCATCTGCTTGTGCTTGGGACCCAAGTCCACCCAGGATGGGGGTGGGATGGGGAGACAGCAGGGTGGTCATGCCAGGATCAGCCCTACCTGGGGCAGTGCTGTGACTGGGTGCGCACCCATAGACTCTGACGTGGATTTAGGTGTGCACAGACACACGCACACAGGAAGCATGTGTGGCATGCAATGGCACCGCTGCTGATAATTAGACATTGACATGCTTCCCAGGCCTTTCGGTGCACAGCCCTTCCCTGAGTGACCCCAGCTGCTCTGGCCTGCCAGGGACCTCCAGATCAGGATTCATGCATGAGACAGCAGGAGGCCTTCAAGGACCAGCCCAGGCCAGGCCAGGGTCTGTTGTGAGATCTGGCCAGAGCCTAGGACTTATGGGTTGTTCAATCCTTCAACCCTCCCCTCCCCTACACATGGAAGGCACTTTAGTGCAAATTTGCATATTGCTGCAAATGTGACTTTGCAACCTATTCTCACCCCCACCCCCAGGGATGGGGCCCTTGATGGATACCTGGGTCTGGGGGCTCTTAGGAGAAGCTAAAGAAGAGAATTGTGGGTCTTGGGAAGGAAAGGTATGGGGACAGCTCAGGGGGAAGGACAACTTGGGGTTGGATGGAGGAGGAGAATTCGGGGGGATTCTGAGAGCTAAGAAATGTGGGGGAAGGAGGTAGGTGGAGATGGTAAGAGACCATAAGGTGGGAGTATGTGAAGAGATCAGAGGTTAAGGGAGGCGTGGGAGGTGGAGGAGGTGTGAGGTGCTGGAGGATCACAGAGTAGAGGGTGTGCGAGTGGGCTGGGAACTCAGCGAAGTTCTAAGGAGCAAAGATGGCAAAATACTCAGAATCCTTGGGCACAGGTGTTTACTGGTTTAGTCAACAAGATTTATTGAGCACCTACTGTCTTTGAGCACTGCCTCGGGAAGACATGGTCCCTGCCCTCCTGGAGCCCCGAGAACGCAGGGGGGGGCTGGGGGCGGGGGGGGGGCGGGGAGGAGGGCGATGAAGTCAGACACTCAGGATGAGGCAAGGGGTCAAAACAGCCAGTCACTCCCTGAACTGCACCGACACGGAGGAGTCAGTCACCCTTGTTCGCCGCAGCCCACCAGCCTCCATGCGGTTCTTTGTCTTGTGCAGGAAGTGGACAAAACGCACACCAGGGCCATACTGGCGGAATACGTGGGACACCTGTGGCAGCAGCGGGTCAGAAAGAAGTCCTTATTAGGCACCCATGAGCCCTGCTCTCCCCCCTCCTCCCTCTGTGAGGTCTTGGGACGGGTCTGGGTTGGCAGCCGGGACAGGGAGTCTCACCTGGACCCAGCGGCCAGGAGGGCCCCTCCCAGAGGTCCGGGGGGCCACATGGTGCTGAGCAATGACGGTGTGTCGGTCAGCTGCCAGCAGCCAGACGTGCAACTCATAGACACACACGTCCAGCCGGCTGTCCTCAAACCTGGGGGTGGGGGAAGGCCTTCAGCTGCCACCTCAGACCCAACATCCCCACCCCAATGTCTTGCCCCAATCACCATTTAGCACCACTCACTGACACCCCCCCTACCCCCGTGCCCCTGAGCTGGCTGGTGCTGGCAACACATTAGTGACCAGACAGCCCCCTGACCCCCTCTTGGGATCCACAGTCCAGTGGGGAGGCAGTGACCAGCAGGAACAGTCAGGACCAGCATGGGGGCTGGTCAGGGAAGGCTTCCCTGTGGAGCCATGTGTAACTGGCTCCTGAAGGACAAGGATGAACCGTCCTGAGAAAGACAAGCATCTGAAGAGGAAAGAACAGCCTTGGGCCTGGCACATTTCAAAACCTGAAGGTGTCCGAGAGAAGGGGCCACAGAGGTGGGCAGGGCTGGGTCCTGCAGGGACAGGAGAGTCCTGGTGGGAGGCTCAGACCAAAGGGGAGGGCGGGGCGGGGCTTGTGCCTTGGGGAGCCGCTGTGTGCACCCTGGTGGGGGGAGGCACGTACCAGTCCATGACAGTAATGTCTGGCTGCTCGTCATCAAGAAGCTCCTCCCACAGGCCCTCGGCCAGCAGATCCACACACTGATGCTTCACCGTCCAGCTGTGAGAGAGGGCACAGGGGAGGCGGGCTCTGGGACCTGCTGGCATTCTTGGGCATCTCCCAGGCCAGCCTGACCCCAGGGAGCAGGAAACCTGATCACAGCACCCTCATATCCAGGGGACCCCGGTATGGGCGCTGGGCCCTCACTGGGCGCCTTACAGTCTCAGTTCCCATCACCCTCTCGGCAGGCGATGCATTCTGAACCCTGTGTTGTGGTGGGGAAACCGAGGCTCAAGAAGGGAAGTGAGTTGCCCAATGTCAAGCAGCAAAGAAGCTCCGGGCCAGCGTGACTCTGAGCCCCTGAGTTACACCATCTCACCCACTGCCCAGAAGCGGGGCTCAGATTCTCGGGGCCTGGGGACTCGCCTCCTCCCAGGGGAAGAGGCTCAGCAGAGGAACAATAATAGCTGCTACTTGTGAACACCTACTATGTGTAAGCCAGACCTGGCCAAAGCCTGTGCTGTGTGTTAGGGGCATTCTCTGGGCAGGTGACTAACTCTGTGTTTACAGAGCAAGAAACTGAGGCCCAGAGGCAAAGCCATTTTCTCCAGGTCCCCCAGCAAGGAAGGCTGGAGGAGGGAATCCATCGCAGGCCCGGGGCCTGGCCACTCACCTGCAGTTGTGCTGGAGCTGCTCAGTCCTAATGTACCACCCACGGAAGTTGCCTGCCAGGTGGAGGAGCAAAGGGTGAGAAAGCACAGAGTGTCTGGCGCCCTCCCCTGGGGACCAGCCCCCAAGCACTCACCCAGCGTCTCCAGGGGCTGCCGAGTGGGGCCAGTAGGGGGCGCTGGCTCATAAATGTTGATGCCTGAAATGGGCAGGTGATACACAGAGCCTCAGGCCTGCTGGAGCTGCCCCTGTCCACCCTCTCCCCGCACCCCACCCCCAGGGCCCCTCTGGAAGGGCAGGAAGCTGTGCCACCCACCAGGCCAGACCAGTCTGGCAGGGGTGAGTGAGCCAAGGGCCCAGGGACAGCCCTGAGAATGTCCTGGGGGAGAGGGACCAGGTGCATTCTGGTGAGGCAGAGACAGAGGGACAGGGAGGCACCAAGAAAAAGGCACTTAGGATATAGGTAGAGGGAGGAGCGGGGTGGGGGTGGACGGGGAGCAGGAGGAAGGGAGTGAGCCGGGGTGACAAGAGACACAGGGAGAGCTAGAGACACATGGCACAGAAGGAGACAGAGGCAGGGATACAAGGCAGGACAGAGCCTCAAGCGGACAGACAGAGGTACAAATAACAGAGACAAAGGCACAGAAACAGGGATAGCGAGACAAGGGATGGAAGAAGAGCAGAGGATCTGGGTAAGCAGCGTTGGGGAAGAAGCTAGGGCTGGCGGCACAGGCACCTTAGGGGTTGGGCGAGCGCAGCAGGTTGTGGTAGAGCGGCCGCCGCAGGAAGAGCAGTTCCGGGTGTGGGTGGGCGGCTGGGGGGTGCTTGGGCGAACATGTTGGTGAGCAGGACCTTGCTCCTGCATGTCTTGGGTGGGGAGGAATCATCCTGTGGCAGAGGATTCAGGGCATCGGCGAATGACACCCATTGAAGGCATGGCCTTCATCACTGACATTCAGCAAAGCTCCTCAAGTGTCAGGATCTGGGATTTCTCTGGGAACCAGGCAACCATGGACCTCGGCAGACGCATTCCCTCTCGCAACATCAGCCACACTTAGAGTACTGAGTATTAAGGAGGGATCTGGGGTGTCTTTTGGGCCCAAATTGTATTTCTCAGTGATGGTCACAGCAATACCTCCCTCCCACATGCTCTGCTGCAATGTGACTGCCACTCCACCATCAAGAGGAAGTCTTATTTTCACCATCCCCTTGAATCTGGGCATGACCAAGACGGCTTGGACCAATAGAACACAGTGTCAGTTCCGGGCATAGCCATTAACCAGCCTTCAGACCCTTAAACACTGCTCTGAGGACAGCCAGCCCCATGTAAGAAGTTCATCTACTCAAGGACTGTGGTGCTGTGAAAAGTCTGAGTCACATGGAGAAGCAACAGCCCGGCTATGCTCCCAGGAGACAGGCAGCTATGTGAGTGAGCCACCACTGACACCCAGCCCCACTGACATCGAACTGTGACCCGGGGAGAGACCCCTAGTGACACTCACTCACCTGAGGGTGAGCAGGACACAGAGGAAGGTGAGGCAGGGACGGTGCGAGGGCGCTGGCTAACCCCCCATGGATAACAATGACAAACTCTGGGCAAACGGTTTTTGGAAACACAACTATTTGAAGGCACTGGAGAGCGACCAGAAGCAGGCAGAATCTTTCAAAGAACAGACCAAGGTGTGAGACTAAGTTTATATGGCTTTTCCTCTGTGTAGGGAGCGGCTACAAAGTTACGCCTTGGACTGACCTGTTGGCAAAGCCACAAACAAGTCCCAGCTTAGAGGGCACAGCCCTCTTGGCATAATTAGGCTTGACCTTATGACGCTCCCTAGATCCTTCCTAAATAGCTAATGGGCTGTGGCAGGTGCAGCAAGTGCTGCCAAAACAAGTGAAACTCACAAGAACATTGTAACTATGGTGACCCCTACCTTGTTTACCTCTGGCTATCAAATAAAGGCTCAACTTGCCATCTGGGTCTCTCTCTGTGTGGCCTCAGCCAGGCACAGGAGATGCACCTAGACCAGGGGTGGGCAAACTTTTTGACTCGAGGGCCACAATGGGTTCTTAAACTGGACCGGAGGGCTGGAACAAAAGCATGGATGGAGTGTTTGTGTGAACTAATATGAATTCAAAGTAAACATCATTACATAAAAGGGTACGGTCTTTTTTTTTTTTAGTTTTATTCATTTCAAACGGGCCGGATCCGGCCCACGGGCCGTAGTTTGCCCACGGCTGACCTAGACCCAGCTTATTCTCTTTGTCTTTTCTAAATCCTTTACTGCCCCTCCTCAGGCTCACTGTACACTTC